CGAGGACAACGTCTGTGTTTAACCATTATATTTATTTTTACACGCCTTATTATTCGGCCTCGTTTGTTTTATTAGCTTACAATTTAGCATGGGTTTGGGACTCGGTATCACCAATATAAAAGTTGATTACTTAAAAATTCCTATAAAATGGACATCGTTGGTTTTTTCCTCTTACCCTTCATTTATTATAAGATTTGTGTATGGCGAGAATTGGCTAACAGCTGCCGATATAAGAGAAGCACCTCTTAGCGACCTTGTCAACTACATTAAATAAATCTGTAGGCTGGCTCACGAGCCAATCTACTTTGAAGGATCACAATGGGCCTAGTGAGGCCTAAGTGGCGTGGGTTAACCCAGCTTCTACATGTTACAGATACATAGTTAGGTAAAGATTTACCGTCAGAAGTTTATATCATTCATTCATATTTGTTTCTTTTCGACCCTACAACCCACAAGCCAGAATCCTATCATCGTCGGTACGAATCAAATTAATACGCCACCGATAAAATCCTAAAAATAAACAGTAATTTAAAATTTACATGGTCCGATAGGATCGATCCTAACTGCGCTCCTGCTGAATTTAATCGCAGGCGTACAGAGATGACGAGCTAATAGAGAAAAAAATTATATATGGGTACTAAGATAGTTTTAATAACTTCATTATCTTCCAATATATGAATATTGTCCCCTGGTGATGGAAAAAAACTTTTTAACTTGTAATAAAAATAAAATTTATTGCTAAGTACAATTATTGACAAAATTAATAAAAACTACTTATCTAAAACAATAAGTTTTGTACAAAATAGCACTTATATTTACAGATTGTCCCACAAATATACTAAAATATCATATAAAACGCAAAAAATATTGAAAATGCATATCTATTTTCAATTGTATTGTAAAAACGTGATAAGCCAGACTTTTAAAAATAAAGGAATTTTTACTTCACGACAATAACAAGGTTACAATAGCCATAAATCAAATGGAAATTCTCCAACAAATATCGTCATTAACCGAAAAATCAAGTTTTTGCATTTTAACAAAGTTGTAGTAATTTGAGAAATTTATTTTACCCTTAGAATACGTGTTTCCTCAATAAATTAATGTTGTAGCTTATCATGTTGTTCTAAATCAAATTACAAAATATATTATGATAGAACATCCTGTTTAACAGAAAAACCTTTCATTTTAAATCCTACCGTATCTAGAGTTAATATAAGTAAATATAATAGATTGTTTAGCATTTTAGTGATATTTGGAAAACAACTAATTAATTTAATTTTTAAGTCAATTATTATTAAATTATTTATCCTACTAAAGTGCATACATGTGCAAACGTGACTGTTTTTGTGTACCAGCAACAGCTTAAAATATTAAAATTTTATAAATTCTACCTATTAATTTGCTAAATGGTTGTTATGTGGTAACTAGGGTATAAACCAAATCATATTAATGACAAACTTAAATAACTATGATAATTGAAATCAAATAAAATTTAATAAAAATGAATATAATATTTAATAAAGCCATCTTACCTAGCATTTAGTTTTTTTTTTAGCGAAAAAGTCTAAAGTCTAAATTTACAAATTATAATAAAAAAAAAATATGGTATGATTTTACTAAAACGATTTTTGGTATAATTTTTGTCCTCATAAAATCTGTAGACTGACTGACGAGCTAAGAGTGGCCTTACGAATTCAGGAGGATGCACAATGGGTAGTGAGGCTGTGGCGGCAGCCCGCACTTTTATCTTACAGGTACAGATTATAGCAGAGCAAAAATATTACACTTTCATATGGATATTAAAAAGAATCGTAGGTATTTATAATGCTGGTGCACAAAAATGTTATCTACGTACTTATACCTACTTACATGTTTTTATGTATTTTTTTGTTATGAATACATTGATGCCAACCAAAATTCTTTTTTTATCAAAATAACAATAATCGCTAGATTCAACTAGAATATTAATCGAGAATAGATACTAATTAAAAATTAGTGTTAAAAAGTTAACTGAAGTTGACAAAAACCACTATATAATAATGGGCCTATAATTTACAAAAATAAGTGCTTCATTTAAAAATGTCTCTCGAAAATGGTTCACCCTGTATATTGAGTTGTGAAAATTCAGTAAATTAAAATAAAAATCGACCTGTCTTAGGAATTTTCATCACATAAATGTATGCGTTTCTTTACACAATTTTTATAACTATCACAGAATATATTTTTTAACAAAAATGTAATACAAATTATGAAATATCTCTCTCAATTTTTAAAAATTAAAATATATAACTAAAACATCTGGATCTTGTGAATATATGCTCATCTTTCGTCAACAGTTTGTGGTTAGTGAGTGTATTAAAAGAAAACATTAATACAAAAATTAGATTTGATTTAAACTATAAAAATGTCAAAATTTAAGTCGTAAAGGTTTAAATTTAATTGTTTAATATAGAAACGTTATACATATTTCTCAATTTTGGTATGTATAGTAATTAGATATATAAAAGAAAGTAATAATGGACCAAGATTAAAGCCGTAAAGGAAAGGGCAAGTTTTAAATGTAGAATGCCTTTCGGTTAAATTGGTCATAGAGTTTGTTCAACAATAGTGGATTATGATAGCCATATCGCCAGATACGGTCCATCCACAATATACCTACTAGAATTAAATTTTCTTTCATTTTTAAAACTTTTTAATTTTTCGTAGATTGTTAAATATTTAATACACAAATTCTTCCCAAAAAATGATCTTTTATTTCTCTTAGTTCATTCAAAATTTATCATATCTCAAAATCTCGTCAACTTGATCAAACAAGTTGGTATAATAAAGAGCTTTTGGTCAGGAAGTATAAATACGTCACATACCTACTTACCACAAAGTTATCCAATTTGACCAAAAAGTATTTTATATTTAAAACTTGTCACCCATCTTGGTCCACAAATTGCTTTTAAATATAGGTATTCACCGTTTTGGGCAGGACCTTTTAAAAAAATTGAACAATATAGATATCTCAATATACATATTTTTGTACTAATTTCTGTTGCGAACTCTACACGTTTGTTTATGTCTATGATTGGCAACACTGATCATATAGGTACCTATATTTCTAACACCATATTCATCAAAGATTGAACCTAAGATGTTGCAATTAAAAATATTTCGACCAACTATTATTGAAACAATAGCTATTAAATAGATACACAATATACGTCTCTTAAAAAAATAAGAAAAAATTGAGCAAGACGACATCTTTGGACAATAGATAAGAGAAAAATAATGCCGTCAGTATGGGAAAATAAATACCTACGAAAAAATTCTAAGGAAAAAGTTTGTATGGGAGATGGAAAATTTCTTTCTGGCACGAAAAACGGCACTCCGATAATTTTTTTATAGAAATGCTTAAATTTTTAATTTTTTTTTATTATAACTATTGTCAACGTTAGGTACAGTTTGGTATAGGTTTCTAAAGTATGATTTGTTCTGTAAATGTCTTCGGAAAGTTTTTAATTAAACTACCACAAAAAACTACAGTTGTACAAATATCTTCAGAAATACAAAAGACAATAAAATACAGTAGTAATCACTTATCTACCTAGTTAATACCTCGTATTACCTTCATAAGCTTATATTTATTCTTCTATGCGTACTTTCAATTAAGTTGATAGCTTCATTTTATAGAATTGTTTCCTATTCCTCTAAAAGGGTCACTCTGAGCTAATCCAAGGTAAAAGGATCAGGTACCCAGCTTCGAATAGTATTTAAATGGATACTGCGCGCTGGTCATATTATTTGAGAAATACTTCGTTTAAATATTCCGTGTCCATGCGAGCGGCATTGTCATCCATCAGTACAAAGTTTTTTTAATTAAATGGTGCAATGGTACAACAAAATCTTGCAGTACCGCTTAAGGAACATGCACAATTATGTACGTGCTTCCGAAGATATCATAGCCAACACCATAACTGAACCCCCTTGAAAACTAACTCTAGGACTAAAAGTGCACTCGAAACCTTCTCTTTTACAGACAGTTTTGAGATCATCTGGATATCGTATGCAAAATCTGGATTTATCGGTCAACAGCACAAATATCCAGTCATGTATGTTTCAATTTTGATGTTCTTTAAATAGTTATCTGACTCAGTATTCTGGGTTCGGGTCCAGTAGCAAATTTTCGAGATCTTAGATTAACCGTCTTCTAACGGTTGGTTCACTAACATTTACGTTCCTGAAATTGTTTCCAATCTCTATAACCCTTAAGTAACGTTTTCTTGTGCCGATGACGCCATAAAATGGCCAACCGGTTTCCGGAACCAGTTCCAGCATAAGGTCCCGTCTCTATAAAACGTGTAAATACGGTACTACGTGAAACACCACGTACTTTTGACTCCTTTCGTCTTAAATGAGAGCAACAATAGATGCAACAGTTTCTGTGCTCAAAAACAACTAATTAGTAAGTAATAAACACTTAACCAACCTAACAATACTAAACACAAATTTCATCGTGAAAACAATTTAAAATGCGTATTCTATTTGGAACACTGAAGTGAGGGCAAAATTGATAAGATTTTCGTACAATATCTGAAATATTTTCAAGTTGGAAGACATTTCTCGATCAAAAATCTTCATGGTTCATTGTAGCTAACTGTGTGAAACCAAATTGAAAACAAATTAAAAAATTATGGCAATTTTATCAAAAATTATCGAGTGCTTGTTTTTCGAGCTGGTGAGTGCCTGTTTATTTTCAAAGATACATTATCTTATGGGCAAACAGATGTATCAATGAAGAATCAACAAGGAATTGAAAGAATTATTCAACGAACCATTGTATTCACAATTAAAAGTAATAGACAGAGATAGCTGGGATACATTGAAAACATGACGAAGGAAAGAATACTTAAAAGGCCAATGGAATGTGGCATAGAAGGAAAGTGGAAACGAGCAATATCATAAATAAGATATCAATAACTAAAGAGCAAAAGCAGAAGATGAAGAAATGGAAAAATATATTAAGACAAGTGTCTATTAGGTCTACAGAGCTAAAACTATAATATTCCCATCATATCTAATAATTTTCTGACCAGCTTCTGTGCATAGGTATTGTTCAGAAGAAGTCCCCTTTTTGTTTCGATGTGACGTTAAATAGAAATCGAAATATATCAATAAATCTGTTTTTCCAACATCTTTGGTTCATTACAATAAACAATAAATTTTTTACAATTTCCATTCAGATTACAGGTATTTAATGGTAGAAGAAAAGTACAATTAAAGATATGGCTGCAGCTAAGTATACATTAGTCTTAAGTCCAGTAGCTGAATTGCAGCCGTCCCAATCACAGTATTCGCAGAAATCTAATGTCAGTCCTCTATTGACACCTTGAGAACACGTACCAACAGGTTGTTCATATGCAACTAGTTCGCATCGTCGAACTACGCTGACGTAGCTAGATCCTGAAACACAAAATAAAAAATATGAGTAAGTTATTCATTTCACAAATGTGGTAAAATTGGTAAAGGAGGGAAAGAAATACAGTTTTTACTACAATAGAAAAATAAAATGCATTTGGTCAAGCAGAACACAAAAATTAATGAATGAGAAATTTAAACCAAGGTTTGTTTCAACATAAACCAAAACGGTTTAGATTAGATTAGATCGGATCGGATCGGATCGGATCGGATCGGATCGGATCGGATCGGATCGGATCGGATCGGATCGGATCGGATCGGATCGGATCGGATCGGATCGGATCGGATCGGATCGGATCGGATCGGATCGGATCGGATCGGATCGGATCGGATCGGATCGGATCGGATCGGATCGGATCGGATCGGATCCGATCATTCCAGCCAGGCCTTCACATTGGCACAGGACGTGGAAGGATGTTTCCTCTTCTTCTTTACAGAACCTGCACAAAGTTGCTTCTTCTGCTGGATTTATGACACTCATGTGCCTTTTGAGGCAACAGTGTCCAGTAAGAAGGCCTATTGTTATCCTAACGATTTGACGCTTTTGATCCAGTAGGTCTTTCGTGAACTTGGCCTTAATGAACTGTTTGGCCTGTCTCAGTCTTGCATAGTTGTTCCATCATTCCTGAGACTCTTTTTGCATTTATTGTGTAATGAATGCCTTGCACAATGCCTTAGCAACTCCGCAGAAGGGTTCGAGGCCTGTCATGGTCTTATCTGAGCCTTCTCGGGCTAATTCGTCGGCCTTTTCGTTGCCCTGATATCCTTCATGACCTAGAACCCAGGCAAGGGTTACCTTATTTTGACTACTTAGCTCTGCCAGGTCTTCTAGACAGTCTTTCACCAGTCGTGATTTGATTTCTGGTGAGAGAAGTGCCTTTAGAGCTGCTTGGCTATCAGAGTATATGGCAATAGTTTTGCCTTATACTTGCTGATTTAATATTTCTCTTGCACAGTGTTGTATGGCTATTAGTTTAGCCCGGAACACTGTTGCATATTTTCCTAAACTCAGCGAAATCGTTGTTTTCGACTTGGGTCCATAGATTCCAGCACTGGCTCCTTCCTTGGTTTTTGAACCGTCTGTGTACCAGACGAGTTCAGCCTGTACGGGAGGTCCCTGTTTCCAGGATTCTCGGGCTGGTATTTGAATTTGAAAATTTCTTTCAAATTTGTTTGTGGTTATGGCTCTATCAGTAGGCATTGCTAGAATATTATCCCTTTTTACTTGCTGATATAGCCTTATGTGGTCGGCGCTATGTAGTTGGCTTATTGGGTTTTGTTCCTGCATTAGCCTGTGAATAGCTGACCTGGTTTCTCCTTGTATGAAGATGTGCAGTGGCGTGAGATTTAATAATACCTCCATTACTGCAGTTGGCGTAGTGCGCATAGCCCCAGTAGCACTTAGACAGGCAAACCGCTGAATGCTAGTGAGTTGGCCTATTGCACTTGCCTGCGCAGTTTTGGTTACCCTTGTGTATAACCATATGGTTATTTTGGGATTTAGACCCCAGTTTTTGCCACATAATCTTCTACAGCTTACGAGAGCTATTGTAGCTTTTTATGTGAGTTTTTTGAGATGTTGATTCCACGTCAGCCTTTAGTCAAATATGACTCCGAGGTATTTGGCTTCTGTAACGAATGGAATAACTATGTTGTTTAGTGCTAGTGATTTTAGTCCTGTTAGTACCCGTTTTTTTGTGAAAGGTACAACTGTTGTTTTTTGTGCGTTAATGGACAATTGTTCCTGTTTGCACCAGTTGTTTACTATGTTTAGAGCTGTTTGAGATCGCTCCGAGACTGTGCCTGCAAATCGTCCCCTGACGATAATTGCTAGGTCGTCTGCATATCCTAGGCACTGGTACTCTTCGTTGGACATTGTTTTGAGTAAGTCGTTCACGAGAACTGACCACAGCATTGGAGATAATAGTCCTCCTTGTGAGCAGCCCCGTGTAACTTTTGCCTGTATGGTTGCCTTTCCTAGAGTGGATAAAATAATCCTCTTCTCTAGACAGGCAGTGATCCATTGGCATATTGTAACTGGGACGTTTCTCTCTTCTAGAGCCTCTGTTATTGACCTGGTTGAGGCATTGTTGAAAGCTCCTTCGATATCTAAGAAAGTAACTATTGCGATTTCTTTGGCATCTATTGACTTTGAAAGCAGCCTGTTCTAGCGCTAGGTCAGTTGACTTTCCTGGCTGGTATGCATATTGGTTGGGATGGTGTGGATTTATTTTTAGTATCTCGTCCCTGATATACCTATCTATCAATCTTTCTAGAGTTTTAAGTAGGAAGGAGGATAGGCTTATGGAGCGATATGACTTTGGCGTTTGGTCTGTGACCCTACCTACTTTGGCAAGGTAGACTACTTTCGCCTTTTGCCATATTGCTGGGATATATCTCCAGGCAATACATGCTCTGAAGATTTCTAGGTCTGAATAGGAACGAATTGTTAAAAAAAGCGCAAAGTCGCAATAACCTGAAAATATCATATTATTTCTATCGTCTCTGACAGATGTGATTTGTATTTGTCAATCGAGTTTAGTCTTCATAGTTTTTGTTTATTATGTTATTTTATTTTGTGGTTTATTATTGTAATAGTGCGTCTGTTGAACCTACTAAAAATGTGATCCAACATAACTGAATTCCGAGTTGAGTCCTCATCCCCGGTAGGTTGTCAATTACTAGTTGTTGACAGATTGTCAACAATAAGTCGTGGACTGGTTTGTGTATAGTTCTATAGTTCTACATACCTCAGGCAAAAAATACACAAAGGCTAATATATGTTTATTAGTGACCTCCAATTGACCCGAGGTGGTGGTATTGGGATCCACATAGGGTGATGGCGAAAATCTAATGAAAATTAAGTTAGCACTTTTTCTGTGTGCTTATTCTATGTGCTCATACACAGTTTAATAAATAAAACCTTTGCTAATAAAACTAAAAACGATGTAATGACAATTCCAAAATACACTATGATAATCAAACAATTAAATAATAAATAAGATATCAATACATTCTTCCCGGGTTAATTTTATATGTAATCTACTAAATATTTAAGTGCTCGTCTGGAACGAGTAGAACGGTCTTTCAGTTCATTAGACATGAATGATGCCTCTTGGTCGAAATGAACATGGGACCAAAAGTCGAAAAGCGATTAACCAAATACTTAATAACAGTAGAGTAAGTCATGTCGGAGCAGGGATAAGCAAACGGAAATCTGGTATATTCATCGACAATGGTTAAGAGATATTTGTTTCTGTTGATACTTGGAAGTGGACCTTTGAAATCAATATTTAACCTTTCAAAAGGTGATAAGTGGCTTTAATTAATTTTTCACACTGTTTAAAAAGTTTTTGTTTTAACTCGGAACAAGTTGGACTAACAAAGATGGTTCTACAAATGTCCTCTACAGAAAATGGCAAATTTTTTGAACGTATCCAGTGAGAGCAAACCAAGTGACACCTGGATGACACAGTGACTGATTGAAAAGCTTGTTCTGATGATTATTACTACCAATATAACTACAAACTCTACTAAACGTATTTGGTACCACGTTCTCAGGTCTGCTCTAAACGCCACCGCAATTTTTTTTTTCATTTTTAATTTTGCTACTGTGTTTACTATTGAACATAAAGGAAACTGATTTTTGATCCGTATAAAGCTTGAAGTGTTTGCCAATGAGAAAATGTCGCCACTTTTTAAGAGATTCTACAATAGCACAAGTCTCTTTTTCGACCGCAGAATGATGTTGAAAAGAATGCCACTGGTCTTCCTAGTTTACTTAAAGCGGCTGCGATAGAGTGTTCAAAAGCATCTGTTTCAACTGTAAATGGAACAATATCCTGAATAGAGGTAAGAACTGAATTGACAATTTTGCAAACAATTTGCAAACAATTAAACAAATATACAAGGTAAATAAAATATCACTACACACAGGTTTGTCAGAATTAAGTAAAGCTACCAACAGGGATTCCAATTCCCAGCGTTTTTAATCTAGCTGGATTTTTGCTGGACCTAAACTATTCCAGCTGGATTAATACGCGTACTTTATATAATCTGTCACCAGGATCACTAGTAGAATTATCGGAAAAGTGTATCTATTTTAATATAAACTCGAACAGATTTCTGAGCATTACTGTTCGAGATAAAGAAACGCTGTAAAGTTTATGAATCCGCAACTAATATTTTATTGTCGGTAATTTTACTAGACCCATCCAATCAACATGAGAAATAAACATATTAAAGCTGGGAAAGTAGACTTTTAAAAAGTTAATCCGGATTCAACACCCGGTGCTGGATCCAGCAGGTCGAAAAATGTGCTAGATCCAGCTGGATTGCTGGATGAGGAATCCAATCCCTAGCTAGCAAGCATTAACTAAATATATTAGTAACCACAAGAAACACAGCGATATCATTAGTAACTTAGTCGTCAGCTACTTCCATAGAGCAATGAAGAACCCTCCTCCAATTGTGACAAAGACATTGCGTTTCTTTCCCTTCTTTACCAAAATAAAAAGTTACAGAACCATAATTTAGTACATAAAAATTCAACAATATTTAAATTTATTATTTTTAAATGTAGTTACATTATGCATCATTTGTACTGACACAATTAGTAATCCGTTATTTATGAAAAATAAAAGAATTGTAGATAGGCTATAGAATTAAACATATTCGAATTTAAATAGTACATTATATTTTAAGAGACTTGGACGTCCTGTAGCCAGCTTTGTGATTGCTTCCACTATTTTTTTGAATGCAAGTAATCCATCGCCATTTGGACGACCAACCCAGTTATATTCAAACCCTTGAATTACAGAATATTTTATACAAGAAGCTAAGATAAACAATCCTATAAACAATTAACTTTCTCTTTGGACAAAAAAATAGTTCAAGTAAGTTTGGACGCAATAAATGTTAATTAAAATAATCGTAAATTAACAACAATCGCTTTACATGGTTCTTTGTGTTTTAAAAGATAATTG